CCGGGGGGTCGGGGCAGCTCCGGAGGAGCGCGGTGGCCAGCTCGAGGCTGAAACTCCAAGCGACCCAAGGTCAGGATCTCGTCGATCCGAGCGGATCCCGGCTTCCCGTCAGCACGGGGTTGCTTTCCGCGCTGCCAGCAGTTAGAGCGGATGTCTCGCTGGGCGTTTGTCCGATTGTTTCTCCACTCACGAATGTTTCTTTGACTTGCAGGGGGACTTTGTAGATAGAGGTTATTATAGTCTTGAGACTTTCACTTACCTTCTTGCACTAAAAGCTAAGTGGCCCGACCGTATCACGCTGTTACGAGGCAATCACGAAAGCAGGCAGATCACACAAGTGTATGGATTTTATGGTGAGTCTTTACCCAAGCGGTTTCTGGGCCGGGGTGACGCGTAACAAAGGAGCACGGGCACCTTTCCCTTGGGAAACCTGCCCGAGGGCAGCGCTGCCGGGGGCTGGGTGGGAGGGGGGGTCAGCAGAACCTGAGTGTTGTCATTTGTTAACGGGATCGTTGTGTCTGGGAAGTAGAACCTGGTTTAGTCCAGATCTCGCTGCCCTTCTCCGGCATCTGGGTTTTCTGTTTGTGTTTGGGTGCCACATCCCGTTTTGGAGACAGAGGCAGAGTGTGTATTGACACAGAACGTGCTTCGGTACCTGGTGGTGAGAGGTTCCACACGAGGTCACGGTGTCACTGTAACCCCCCTGAGTTTCAGTGACCAAACATCAGTGTCACCGGCCACTCTGCTGTGGAGGTCATCTGCTGCCAGCAGCGAGCAGCTGGGAGAGTGCCACTGGGGAGAAATAAGCAGGAGAACAACTGTTTGAAAAACGGAGGGAATTAGATTGCTTGGAAACTTCCTTGTTGTTGTGTGAGGCTTTGATAAAACCTGAGGAGATCCCGGACGGTATCTGACCCTGCCACGCAGCGTGCTGTCCGTCACGGGCCTCCTTTTGGGCAGTGTGCCACCAAGAGCAGGCGCTAAGCACTGCCTGCCCGCCCCTCGGCGTTGTGGCCACCTTGGTGTAGCTCTGAGCAAAGCCACGGTAAGGCCCCTCTGCGGGAAGCTCTTCCCCACCCCGGCCGGTCCGTGCTTTCCGCCTCCGTTGTGTGTGAGATC